GGGGCCGGGTCCTGCGGGACTGGCTTCAGCAGGCCGGAGGCGGGTCGGGCGCTGGCCGGCCTCCGCGTCACCATGGCAGCGGGAACGCAGCAGCGACGCTGCAGCAGGAGGAGGTCCTGCTCAGAAGGGCTGGGGACAAAGATGCTGAACCAGACCCACCGATGACTTATGAGGTAAGTGCTGAAAGGCGGCGATTAACTGGAAAGTATTATTATTACTTGAGCGTCCAGATCAGAACTGGGGACACGCGGAGGGTCGAGGGTGGGGTGAGAAGAAAGAAGCGGAAGTTTCAAATTCCGAACCCGCTTTGGTCTTACAGGTTCTTAGTGTGCGATTCGGGATTCAGACTTTCAGAACTTGGAGGCGAGTGGGTAGGTCATTCACTTTCCTTTCTCAAGCTGGACACTGTCCTCCCCCAAATACCGCTCGCTGCCCCTCGGTTTGTCCTTGAGAGTGATGATTTCTTAAGATGGATAGAGTATTGAAAATGGAATCGCGGAACAAAAAAAATAGGTAACAGTGTCTACTTCATAGATTGTGAGAATTTTAAGCACTTGGAACAGTACATAGTATGCAGTCAAATGTTGGCTGCCATTAGCATCATCATCATTATCACTATTTTCCTGGCCTGTTTTCTGGCACAGACCTAGTAGAGTAGATTCAGAAGAGATGGCTAGAAAACTGCCTCTACCACTGATTGGCAGAGCAACTCCCTAGACTATTTCCTATTAGCTGGGGGTAATAAAAGGAACTCTATTTCCAAGGGTTATTTACTATGACACTCAAATAGATGATGTAGGTGATAGCACTTTGTAAACTTAAAGTCCTGTATAAAAATTTCTGCCTTAGAATAAATGCTGCCTTGCTAGGTTAAAACTGAATTTCTGAGGATGAAGGGAAGTGAATGCAAGAAGCAGAGGCCCCATTATTTCGTCTGATTGTCCTCAGAATACTTCCTATGGTCTTAGACTGATAAATGTAGAGAGGAGGGAAAGCTGCATCCTTGCTTGACTAATGGTAAGAAAGCATGGCCCTGTTGTGATTATAATATCTTGGGCTGGAGTTCCTGCTAACTAGTGTCCTATATTTGATACTTCTAATGGATTAAGTAGATAGGTTTGAGGCAGGGGCCTGACCCAACTAGACTGGTTTAGTTTTTGGAATTTGTTTCCTGCCCTGTATTTTTGCATATTTCTTTCTCTTCCTATATTCAAGGTAGCCCTGATCTGACTCTTCTAGGGACTCCGAAGATGGGGACCCAAGTGGTTATGAGACTTTGTAACTCCCTGCTGCCAACAGAGCCCTCTGTAAGTTTCTGTTGTAATGTTTAGAGGAGTGTGATGACATTAACGGATTTTCAATACAGTTTTACAACTGGAGATTTCTCCGTCAGGACTCAGATCATGGAACAGAATTGTAATATATTTGCTTTCTTGTCTTGCCTCCCCTTCTTGTGGAAACTCTAGCTCACTAGATTGATTACCTTTATCAAGAGTTAATAAAACTAGGCAGAAGTTGAAAAATTCTAGCAAATTAATCAGAAAATATGCATTTTAAAAAAGATTTAAATAATATTTTTATAGAAGCAATTCATGTTAATTATAGAGCATTTGAGAAATACTGCTAACCATGATTTAAAAAAAACATAATTCTCTCATCCGGAAGCAATCACTGTTAATATTTTAGAATGTTTTCTTCTAGCCTTTTTCTATTTATATTCTTTACATATTTGAGGTCATATGCAGATACTTTTTGCCTTTTGCTTTTTTAACTTAATGCTTGTTGATACAAAATTATTAAAATGTTTGTTTTCATATGAGTGCAAATGTTTGGGAAACAGTATAATGTCTGTAATTTTCTTGACCTTTCCTCTATTGTAGGACTTTTAGGTTTCACTCTCCCCATTGTAAATAACTAATTGGTTTCCTCATTTAAGACATTTTTCTTAGGGTAAAGTCTCAGAAGTGGAATCCCTAGGTCAAAGGATGTGAACATTTTAAGTAATAAGTTACCTTTCAAAAGAAAAATTGATAGGTCAGATATTATATACATCCGTGAGAAGGCAGAGGGACATTAGTTGGGAGATAGAAAGGTCTTTAGTAGAAATATGGCTACCTCTTGCAATGAGACCCTAGGTCCTGCAGAAAGATTATTTCATGATAGTGTAATTAGTGATGTGGAACCCTAATACATGAATGGCAGTCCAGAGGCTCAGGGGCATTTACAGTGTTTTATAGTAGAGAAACTCTGGGATCACTTCCTAACTATCCACCAGATGTCGCTAGTCTTAATTTAATGTTTACCTGCAAGATAGCAGGCAGAAAACTTTGAAATGTGAATTTAAAAAATTCATGTTGAATATATTTGCATATCTGCTTTGATACAGTTTATATTAAGCACTGGCATCTGGTAATTGCTTTGGTGACATCCTACTCTAGTCTCTTACAATTCTGTTTCTTTTTTCCTTTTTCTACCCACTCAGTCTATCACACTCACTCTGTACACTCTGTGCCTACGTAATTAATATTGGATTCTGTTTTACTAGTCTTCCTTTTACTATTCTTTCTTTCAGTCTTGTTTCTTGTGTGTGTGTATTTATGTGGGACATTCTAGGCAGAGAGACAATTGCGAAGGCATGGAAGTGAAAATGAGCCTTATAAATCTGTGAGACATTATGGAGCTTGCTACCCTGGGCCTACGTGCTTTGGGAGAAGGCTTTAAGAGCTGGGCATGAGGAATTCATATCTGATATTCTAGGAAGAGGGAGTTTCTGAAGACATTTGAGCAGTTGAGCAGCAAGATTATCTAAGATTAAGGGGTGAGGACTGTCAGAAAAGCTGGGGACAAAGAGAGCAGTTTAGGAACCAGGACACATTAGGGACCTTTGCCAGTAGATGTGAGCCCTTTTGTGTATATTTATGCTGATGTCTCTGAAGATAAATGCAATACAAATTCTAAACATATGTTACTGCCAAAGAACTTGTTATTGTGAGAAAACAAAAGAAAGATTAAGAAATTATTTCGGAATCATTTAAAATATTTCCATCGACAATTTTAATTATTCGTTTACTCAAATTGCCTTTCTGCCTCTCCATAGTCATTAATGATTGGTCATAATAGATGTATTAAATTTTGCATAGGTGTGAATTTCACACATCTTCTACACAGGGAGAAGTCACAGTCAATATTTTTACCAAATTACAGTTCAAAGTCTTACATAGGCTAAGATATTATCTGTATTAATAGAAGTGATGCATGAGTTTGCTAAGGTTTCCTCCACTGGCTCATTCATTCATTCATTCAATCATTCATTTAACAAAAAACATTAACGGAGCATCTTCTATGTTGTAAGAATTATATTAAAGTATCGCATAATGATTAAGAACCTAGACTTTGGCTCCACCATTTGGTAGCTATAGGGTCTGAGCAAATTCCTTATCCTTAAAACCTCTCTTTCTTATATAAAATGGAGACAATAAAAAAATCTACTCTTTATGGTAATTGTGACCATCAAATGAGCTAATGTATCTAAGTGCTTAGTACAGGGCTTGGCACACACTAACAGCTTAATTTTGCTATTATTACAGTTGTATATAGATATTTGGGTAGCTAGCTTTTAGTTTTAGTTGGTGAGGGAGGTGACTGCTATCATTGATAAAATAATGCAGGACTGAGGAAGCCTGGTATAATTTCAGAAATCGGGAGCATGGCAGCAATATGCAGATAGCAGCTTGCTTGGACCCTTTGCCTCTTCTCTCAGGCAGAGTGAATGACAGGCCTGCAGAGTAGGAGTGGTTCCAGCTACCCAGACTGGCTTGCTGTTTTCCCATATTACGGGCATTATAGGATGCAGATCATTGTCCTAGTTATTCCTAGTTCTCTTAGCTAACCCATTTATTCTCCCAGCTCTCATATTGATATCACAATATGTTGGGATAGGGAGGATGGAAGGAATAGTAAATGTTAGAACTGCTCAGAGCAAAAGCTCAATTCTTTACCCAGACCACCTTTGAAGGCAGACCGCGATAAGTATGGTGAACTGACCTTCTCAGAAAAAAAAATTGAGATTATATGGTCCAACAGGAATTCTGTGTTTTTCCCAAGTGTGAGAGGCATGCTTATATGAAAATTTTTGGAAGACTTCAATAGTTATTTGGGGACAATGGAACAGAATATTTTGAAATTGTACTACCTAAATTTAAATGAATTAAAATTAAATGCCATTTAACTTTCAGTTCTCATTTTAAGTGCTTAATTGTCACATGTGGCTAGTGGCCACTGTATTGGACAGCACAGATATAGAACATTTTTACCATCACAGAAAGTTCTATTGGATATCATTACTGTAGAATATGTGGTTAGTATAATGATAGACTGAAGGGAATAGTGCAATCTTGGACTATATGCCCTATAATAAATCTTTTATCAATTCACCACAATGCTCTCTAACTTCTCCAGCATGTTATGAGGTGTAGGGCAAACAGCATAGGGTTGGGCATCAGAGATCTTTGGTTCAGATAGTAGCTCCCATAGACTAGCTGAATGACTATAAGCACCTTTTCTAGCCTTAGTTTCTTCATCTGTGAAATGAGGGAGTTGGGCCAAATGAGTTCTTTTTTTTGGAGCTTTACAATTCAGTGATTTAATGAGTCTTTTCCCAAGAACACTGAGCTCACAGGTCCTATTTTGATGTGTGACTTGTTTGAGAAACAGTGACCTCTTGGCAGAGATAAGTGTTAGCAGGAGCTCCCTCTGATGTCCCAATATTTTCTGCTGTGTCCAAAGCATGATGGGCTGTCAACCAATAAGAATCTTCTCTCCAGTGATCCATCAACTGGGTGTTTTAGTTTTGTGTAACTATGCATATATATGCATTGCATGCAATATTATGTTTTTGGAAGTATACTTCTCTTTAAAAAGGGCCTTGTTGCATTAACATAGTTTAGTGACTCACCTGAGGGTATTACACCATGAACTGTGGTTGCAGTGAGAGTTCTTGACAACTAAATTCCCCAGATAGATCATGAAGGACAGTGGTCTTCTGACTTGTGGGCTGCTTAGGTTCAGTTTGATTTGTCATCATGGCTTCTCCCCAGCCTTATCCAGAATAGAACCCATAGCATTCAACCAGCAGCAGCCACTTAACACCTCTGCTGGCTTTCTGCTTCCTGCTTGCTGTGGTCAGGAAGGTGTGTCTCTTCTTAGAAGCATCTTTGTATTTAGCAGCTTCAGACATTTAGGCAAGATGTTGTTAGTTCTGGCAGCTCTGGGTAAAAAATTTTTCTCTAGTGACCTGAGGAGGAGGTCATTAAGATGAATAAGAGCCATTACTGACTTTTCTTGTTAAGGTACTAATGGGGATTTTTGGGAAGGAATCTGAACCTTCTGCAAAATTATGTGTAGAGTCCTAGATTTTCAAGTTGCCTGTGTCAATGACCAACTGTGTCCCTGGATAAGGCCTTGACCTTCTCTGAGCCTTAACACTCTATAAACCCTTCCTTTCCATCTGGGATCATGAGATGTAACATAATACATTCGGGTGTTCTTTCTATTTCCAGTTTTCCTATAGAAAAAGAATGTGCACTGAGAGTACAAATGACTAGTGTTTTTAAAAATAAATAATCAGGGCTGTGACTTGAATAACTAGAAACAGAGGGCAATAGCTCTCAGTTTCACGTGAGCAAGCTTTACTTAACTCTGTCACAAGCACCAGAACATTTTTGCGGTTATTTTAATTAAAACTCATGTAATTAACTTAAAACTCATTAAAAATGTGTTTTACATTTTAGCAGTTATTTTAAAAAGAAAAAGAAGGATTTTTGTTAAAACCCTGGTTATCCTTGGTTTACCCTTGATGTTTCTGTTATCCTGTGTGATTAGCTCTATTTCTATTAAATGTATTCTAATATAATCAACAACTAAATTTTTCTTTCTATCCTCTTTTTTCTCTCCTGGATGGTTCTTCTGTTTCTCTTTTTGTTTCTCTCTCTCTGCTTCCCCTTCTTTAGCCTAACCTCACTATCCAGGCCCCCTGCGGAAAAAGCTTGCTGTTTTCAGCTATTTTGGGGAAAAAAAATCCTGTGATTCACTCTCCTTCCCACCCACCATGTGGTGGGGCGCTTGCGGCCTTAAATCAGCGGATCTCGTATGTGTGTGTGTGTGTGTGTGTGTGTGCGTGCGTGTGTGTGTGCGCGCGCGTGCAAGCGTACCAGCACGCCCGTGTGTGTTTGTGTATGTGCGCGCGCGCGCACGCACGCACCCCCACACACACACACACACACACACACACACGCCAGCCCGCCCGCACGCCAGCGGTGCTCTCCCTTCTGCTGGCGGGGCCTGGCTGCTAGCTCCCGCCCTCCAGCCGGTGCGCGCCCAGCTGTTTCTATAGGAACCACGACAGCGCCCCGGCTCCTCCTGCAGAGGCCCCCGTGTGAGCATGCCCAGTGGATACCGCTAGTTTGGCTCGGGTCTGGGTTTCCAGTAAGTGGCATGCGGGACTCTGAAGAGATCCCAATGAGCTAAACGGAGAGTCTTTGTGTGCAGAGGGAGGAGGAGGCGACGACCGCCTGGCCTGGAGACCCCGCCCGGGGAGCCCCCGGCAGGAACAATGCTAGCCTGCCTGACCCGGGGGAACTTACTGGACGTCCTGCAGGAGGGCTTCAATGAGGTAACTGCTCCTCCCACTCCCCAGCTCCCCTCCCCCAGCACCTCCCGCCTAATTTCAGGAACGGGTCGTCCTCCGCCCCCATCTTCACGAGGACTCCAGAAAATTCGCTGCAGGGCCCTAAGGGGGTTATAAAGTGGTGGGTATGGTGCAATTGAGACCACTGAACAAGGAGAAATCAAAAGGGCTGCCTGCCTCCAGCTAAGCTGGGCAATGATCTTCCCTGGTTGCTTATCTGAACCCAGAAGACAGGGTCACACATTTAGAGGTCATCTCCTTACCAAAGAGGTGGACTTCACCCTCCCCAGGGATTACCCCCAAGGAATTCCCCTGAATATATGGCTTAAGTGCGCATTCTCTTTGAGCCGAGGGAGGGGCGGGGTGGCATTGCATTGGTAGAAAGTTTGAGAGAGGGCAGGGAGTATCTTTTTCTAAATCCAGGGCAATAGATTTCTCCGCAACCAAGGGTTTGGTTGGTAGAGAGGAGATGGGGGTCTTGGGTTTCTGGACCCAATTCAGGGGAGCCAGCATTTGCTCCCTTCTGTGTGAGAGTGGGGGACTGGGGACCCAGTCTGACAGACAGTATGGGCGAGGGCTGGCCAAGGTCTTTTTCTCTTCACTGTTTTCTCTCAAAATTATTTATTCTATTTTCTTCTCTTGTGACCCTTCCCCCTTGCAATTTGCTCCATATGTATTTCTTTGCTTCTGAGCCCCACCCTTTGGGTTTCCTTATTCCAGCATTCAGGAAGACCCCCTACAAGGAGACCTAGACTGTTAGCTGTGTCTTTCTTCCTTTTTCCTTCTTTTCCCACCTCTCCTCTTCCCCCTTCATCTTTTTCTTAAATTTAAAATTTTTTTAAAATCAATTTTTAGTTAAACAGTGAACATGTGAATACCTTCTTTTCTTAAATATGAACATTATGGGCAAGACTGGGTGCCTTGGTCACCCCTCCAGTCCTAGCCTTTTCTCCAGAGGTAATCATTCTCAGGGATTTGTGTATGATTTTCTTTCTACAGCAGCACTACAGGCTCTTTCCTTAATTCCTGTTTCTAATTAAGAAGCTCTGCAGCCTGACCTGTCCCAGAACCTCCCCCAGTCCTGGCCCATGTACCCAGCTTTGTTCCTGACACAGGGAGGAAAACTGCAGAGGTGCTGTCCCAACCTTACTGACTGAGTCAGAATTTTCCTTTGGCGGAAGGGTGTCACAACCTTCACTGAAGGGCAGAGCTTGCATCCTGCCTGCACCGCAGGGCTCCTCATCTTTGCGTCGGGTTCTCTTTGAACACATATAAGGAGATTGTTAACAGATGGTTATGGTCTGAGAGTTGAAACACAGACGAGCCAGGAAGCCACCTCTTTAAGTGCTTCTAGTAGTCCTGGTTCCTCTTTTCTCCATCTCTGCCTTTGGACCTCCCCTGGTCTCAAGCTGCGCAGGTCTGACTCATCCACCAGTCGTGGCAAAAGCTCCTCAGGTCCTTTTCTGCTCTCCCCTTTTTAAAACTTAGTCCCCAGGTATCAGGTCCCACTGTCTTAACAGGAGGAGAAAACCAGCACAGAGTCAGTCCTAGTCTTTGCCTTCTGCTCATTTTTCACTTCCAGACCTTTTAGCCGAAGAGCCAAGAGGCTTGGCTGTCTTTTTCATGCTTTAGTGTGTCCATAAATATCCTCTGACCTCCAGTTCTCGTAAAACATAAGGGAAAGGGAGAGTGGAAGAATTTTCTTTTTGTGGTGGTAATGGAGTCTTCAAAAAAACAACAGACACACGGCTTTATTTTTAATTCATCTCTAAAATAATGCAGTAATGCCTCTTCTTTTCTTTCTGACATTTGATTTTTCTGCCCATACTATAAACTTCCCTCTACCCTTCTACGGGCTAATATATGATCTATTTTATTCTATTAGTAGATTTGAACTCTGATAGCCAATAAGTACATTTGGTTTCTCTGAGAAATTGACATTGTCTAAATAACACTAATAGTAATATGTTAAACCTCATGGGTTCCTTACAGTTTAAATAATTATTTCACATATGTAATAAATAGTTCCACATACTGTATCACATTTACTGTTACTGAATACTGCTAGAATTAGTTATTTCAGAGTCGATGGGGCCCTGATTGACCTAGTTTAGCCTTTAGGGTTGCTTAATAGATCCAGTAATATTCAGTCTCTTCTGTTAGAGTCATATGATAAGGATGTAGACAGGGACTTAAAAGCCAGAGTCAGAATATACTCCAGTTCCTCTGAGAAACTCCACTGAGGCTGAGAATACCAAACATATATCCAGTCATCTCTGGGGAATGATCCAAGCATATCTGAAGCTATTCTTCATCACCCAGATGCTAAGGTCTTTGTGGTTAAGGGCTGTGACCTCATTCTCTATAGCAAAGTAAATTGCCACAGGAAATGAAGCTATGACCCTAACTGGTTAATTATTAGGGAACCCTGCAACAGAGAAATCCTGCCCTCTGATTCAAGGCTTCCCTCTACCCACGATTGGCCTCTGTTCTCAACCATATGTCACTATGCATAACTGCATGCAGAATTTTCTTGTACCACGTTCCCTGAATAAATCCCTGGTCTCAACACACCTGAAAAATTACTCACAGAATTGATCTGTATCATTGCTGTCAGTGCAGTACGTTGTGTTGACATGGTTAATCTGCATTGTGAATTATCCATAAGTTTTGGCTACTGTCACCTTCTGTAGCCCACCCTGGCAGTCATCTCCTGTCTCTTATGTTCTTTCTGGGCGTGGCTGGGCTTTCTATAGTTCTCATTTTCCCATTTTCCCATTCTGCCTTAAGCTATTTATTTGTTCTCTGCCACTTGGTATTGATGTTGTCATATGAACATTGTCTTTGGTTAATGAGCCAACATAACTTCTGCAAGTGTTTTTCTGGGGGCTGGACTTTGAAAAATACTTTGGTGATTATGTTGGAAGGTTTTGAGAGACCTAAGATTATAATATGGTTTGGACAGTAAGCATTCATTCATTCAGTTATTTAGTTCATTTATTGGGTGAAGGGATGGATAAAATAATTGAATGACACCTGGTTCCTGCTTCTGAGGAATTTATAGGGAGAGATTTATAGGTATACAGAAAAAACATGATAGAATGCTTAATGTGATAAGTGCCATAAAAGAGGTAGTGTTTGTGGAAGATCATAGAGATATCTTCTACTTAACGATATCATGAAAAGTACCAAATATTTACCTACCTACCTGCTCACTGAGACCAGACTTTTTTTCCTGCTAGTCTGGTAAATATGCATACAGGCACTCAATTTAGCAGACATTCACTGAATTACTATGTTTACCAGGCACCGTGCCAGGCTCTGGAAATAGCAGTCAAATAACATAGAATCTGTGCCCTAGTGGAGCTCACATGTCAATGAAAATGAAGTAAGTGTTCAGAATATCAAACCTGGGAAAATTGTGGTCATGTAGAAATCCTGCCTGTCGGGCAGAGCGAACCCGTGCCTGTCTGCAGCGTGAATAGCCCGAGGAACTGAAAGTTGTGGGAATGATTTGTTAGAATGTTGGTCAACAAGAAATCGTCTGTCTTAGCCTTATCATTTTAAATATATGACCTGGAAGACATTCCCTACCAGTTTTTCTCCATGTAGAAAAGTAGAAATTTAAGCCCCACATGGAGATCATCTGCTTGGCAGTCCCTGAGAAATACAGGAAGAGCCTTTGTTTGGTATCATCCCCATAAGGGGGTAGACTGAGTGAGGAAGAGGGTTGGCATGAGGAGCAGCTGCAGCGAACATCTCTCCTAAGTGCCTCCTGCCTTTCGTGGAGTAGGATTTGCAACATGGGGCCAAGCAGAGGCTTTCAGACATTTCCACAATGAATTCCTTTGTGCTTTGCTGTAGAAATTTAAGGCCAGTTCAGTCTTTAACGTAACAAAGCACCACACTCCCCAACCTTCTTTTTTCTATCCTGACCAGTTTCTCCTCACCCAAGTTCATTGGCTTTTTTCCCATAGGAGTCAATGCCAGCTAAACAGATGTTCCCTGGCAGCAAGCTATCAGGCAGTGTGTTATGTTCCTCATGGTGAGTGATGGGCTGGCCAGGCATGTAGAGCAGTGATAGGGCACTGTTTGCCAGGTACCACTCCCCCAGGCTGTTCAGAGAGTCTGGGGAGTACTAGAAATGCTTCATCAGCCCTGACTGGCCGTGTTGTCTAGACTGTAAGGACCAAAGATTCAAACTGAATGAAACTTCTCTCAATGTATTTCCTTATTTATTATCCCAAACCAGGCCCATTTCAGTGGTCATGGACATAACCTTCAGTGGTCAGATATGGTCAGGGGTTAAGGAACCAATCCCAAAGGTCCTAAGGGTGAGTGGGCTCCATGCCCTGTTTTTAGGATAAAAGACACTCATAAACTATACAGTGATACCTCATTCATTCATTCTTTCACATGCATTTATCGAACACTTACCTTATAACATGTACTTGTGAAGGACAGAGTGTTTACAGAACTTGTAACTAATGAACAATTAAAAATAAGTTTAGGAGGTGAAATCTTTCAGAAAGTCTTTAGCTCTTTACTTTCTTGTGTATTATCCTTTGATTGCTGGGATGCACACTAATAAAAGAGCCCTACCCATCCATGGAAGAAGAAATTTAATATTTTTACTTGTGAATTTTATTTTTACCTAATTAGCCACCAGGTTCAATAAATAAGTAGTCTTTCCTGGTTTAGTAAAGGCCTGAAGGAGTTAATGGAAAAGAAATACTATGTTATGGTCTTTTACTGGCAGAATTTAGGCCAATAATAACTAAAGATTTCCAAACCTCCTGCCATCTCTCAACAAGGTCCCCACCCCCATCTCCTTATCTGCTTCTACTGGAGGGTCTCATAGTTCTAAACAGGTATCTGGTTTCACTGTAAAACTGATTTCCTTCTGGGCATTTCAGGTCTCCTGAACTCTCTCTCCAGCACACTACAGGAGTCTTGCCTCTTTTCTTGTTTGCTTTTCTTGTTTT